CGACCAGCCCTGCACATTTCCTCTTAGGCATGGCTATAGTATAAAGCAAAGGATTCACCATGACGACATAATTGTCGTACGCCATTACCAATAGCAAGAATCCTTCTGCGGTCACAAAGATCCCAAAACATAAATGCTGTGCCATGCAAGCAGAGATGGTTCCCTTCACAACCACGAGGTTGGTCAGCATCTTGGGTGCTATGGCAGATGAGTAGCAGGCATCCACAAATGAAGGGCAGCTGAGGAAAACGTACATGGGAGTGTGGAGCTTAGGTGCGATGTGGATTAACAAGGTCATGCCCAGATTCCCCACCAAAGTAACAGCATAAATCACCAGGAACAACATAAAAAGCACAACTTTCAGTTCAGCCCAGTCTGTCAGTCCTAAAATAATAAATTCAGTGACAACTGTAAAATTCTCTTCAGCCATTGGTTGATTCTTTATCTTGACATCTTGACATGCAGGTTAGAATGGACACAGGAGAATCTGGTATTTATTATTAAAAGATAATAGAAACACTATAGGCTTCTGTCCTTGGAGCTTGATTAGATTGCTTCGATTTGTGTGTGTGTGTTACATACAGTTCTATTCTGTCAGAAAATGATGAAAATGCATTTTGTCTCTCACAAATTTAATTCTGTTTCCAAAGTGCCTGCCTCTATAAGAAAATGACACCTGGCATGAGGGACATTGATGACAAGTGAAAAGAATTTGCAAAATTTAATTTAAGCCTTCTATAAAACTCTTCATTTTTAGGGATAAAAGAAGTGCATTACAAGAAGATCTCAAATCAGCTCTGGTATTACACATGTAACTACTACACAAAAGCACTATGATATAAGCAGAGATAGGCAAAGATTATGAGATGGGGTCCTGACCGCCAAAGATGATGTCATGATCCTCTTAAAAGTGTGTAAATATCTGGCCCCTTCTGATGCCTCCTTATCAGCACTATGGAAGGACATCATCAGAGGAGTCACTCAACCACGAGACTTGGAGCACAGAGAGCCACATCTTGCCTGCATTGAGCAGTTAGAGGACATCACAAATTACATGCTGATTTTTGGCTTATGCACATTATGCTTATATGCTTATGTATCTGTTGTATAAGTTTCTATAAAGTGGCATGCCTAATATTTTCTATATTTAATTGTTTAATATATCAATTATATTTATACATACATAAATGTATGTATGTATATACCCACATACACACATGCATATATAAGATAAAATGTAGCATGTGGATAACCACAGTTACTTATTGGTCTGGAATACTTTTTCTTATCCTTTATATAATTTTATATATATATATATATTTATATTTATATTTATATAAATTGTTATGGTTTTCTAAATAGAGTTTCCATTCATTAAATAGTTTTTGTTACTTAGGCTTTTTATTCTAATATAGCCTGCTTTTTTAAGAAAATATATTTATCCAAAATAAAACAGAGCTCACCCATATTCTGTATTTAGTCAAGATTATTTATATTTTTAGGAATAAAGATATAAACACAATGATAAAATTTGGTTTATCTACATCAGTTCTATTGATTTATTTTAATTAATATACTTAAGTGTATTTTTAGGAATAAAGATATAAACACAATGATAAAATTTGGTTTATCTATGTCAATTCTATTGATTTACTTTAATTAATATACTTCAGTTGCCACAAAAGGAAAGTGGTTGGCATTAGCCCAAACTGTGATTAAAAGATGTTTCTGTCATTTATTGATTTAATGACTTTGGTAAAGTCATTTATCTTCTCTCAGACAGAATTTAATTACACCTACATCACACAATTTCTCATACACTTCTTAGACACTACAGAAATTTACTTGCCAAAATGTATGAGTTCTTTCAGCAATAATATTAAATCTAGGTATTTCAAAACCAAATATAGCATTAGTCCATGACATCTGAATTATCCAAAACACTAGCTAGTAACTTTGTGTGAATATTTAAATAGAATTTGATGAAATTTCTTCTCTTTGAATTAATCCCAATTCAAGTGTTCAATAGCCATTTGCAGCTAGTAGCCACTGTACTGAACGGCACTAATTATAGAACATTTCCATCACCGCAGGAATACGTGTGTTGGTTAGAATGCTCCCCTAGCTCTCTGACTCATCTTTTTAGAGTACCAATTAAATAAAATTTTCTCAAAGAAGGATTATATATTGTGAATAGTGTTCATTGAAAGAATAATTAAGGAGATGGGATTTCCAGACAGAATTTAGAAATTAAACTATATTACTTGTTCAGGGATGCCCATCTGCAAATCTTAAGGTGGTATTGTGAACAGAACTGAATGAGAGGTGGCATGGACAGAATGGAATTGAATTAAATATTCTACACATTCATGATTCTATCTGATTT